AGCAATACTCCCAAATTCATTCCTGGAAGCAAGCATCACCTTGATCCCCAAAGCAGAGAAAGACCCAACTGAAAAAGAGAACTATAGGACAATCTCACTAATGAACATAGATGCAAAAATCCTTAATAAGATACTCACAAACACAATGCAGAAGATCATCAAGAAGATCATACACCCTGACCAAGTGGGATTCATCCCAGGGATGCAGGAATTGTTCAACATATGCAAATCAATAAATGTAATACACTCTATTAACAGAGCCAAGGACAAAAACCATATAATTATCTCAGTAAATGCAGAAAAAGCATTCAACAAAATCCAACACCCATTCATGATAAAACGTGGAATAAATGGTCTTTATCTTAACCTGATAAAAGCCATGTATGAAAAATGAACAGCTAACATCACACTAAATGCTCAAAAACTGAAATCTTTCATGTTAATATCAAGAACAATACAAAGATGTTCACTCTCAATACTCCTGTTCAATATAGTTTTGGAAACATTAGCCACAGCAATTAGACAAGAGAAAGAAATAAAAGGAATAAAGGTAGAAAATGAAGAAGTCAAATTACCATTATTTGCAGATGACATGATACTCTACATAGAAGACCCCAAGAACTCCACCAAAAGTCTTCTAGATATAACAACCAAACTCAGTAGAGTAGCTGGATACAAGGCCAACATTCAAACATCAATACCCTTCCTGTACATGAACAGATTCATGAGAGAGGAACTGGAGAAACAACTCCTCTCATAATAGCATCCAAAAAAATGAAATATCTAGGAATCAGTCTAACAAAAGAAGTAAAAGACCTCTACTAGGAAAAGTACAGCACTCTGAAAAAAAGGAGATCAAAGAGGATATCAGAAAAGGGAAAGACATCCCTTGTTCCTTGGCAGGAAGAGCCAATATAGTGAAAATGGCCATACTTCCAAAACTGCTATACAGATTCAATGCAATCCCGTTTGAAATCCGAATGGTATATTTCACAGAACTAGAGAAAACAATCCAAAAATTCATCTGGATCCAGAAAGACCTAGAATAGCAAAAGAAATTCCAGGCAACAAAGACAAGGTAGGAAGTATCACAATCCCAAACTTGAAACTATATTACAAAGCTACTGTGATAAAAACAGCATGGTACTGGCAAAGAAACAGACCTGAGGATCAATGCAACAGAATAGAAGATGCAGAAATAACTCCAGACACACTTAGCCACATCATCTTTGACAAAGGAGCCAAACATCCTCATTGAAGGAAAGATAACTCTCTTTAATGGTGCTGGGAAAACTGGGTTTCAACTTGCCAAAGATTAAAACTAGATCTTTATCTCTCATCATGCACTAAACTAAAATTGCAATGGATCAAAGATCTAAATATTAAAACAGAAACTCTAAACCTACTGGAAGATAGGTTAGGTGGAACTCTTGAAGACATTGGTGCAAGAAAAGACTTTATGAACAAAACCTGTCACACCTGAACTAGCACAAAGAATCAACAACTGGGATCACATCTTATTAAAAAGCTTCTGCACAGAAAAAGAAACCACCAACAGAGTGAAGAGACAACCTACAATGTGGGAAAAAAAATTTTACCATCTTTCTTTTTATGCAACTTTAACAAGGAACCTATCCAATGACACTTGCATTTGCTTCCTTTTGAGGATTTTGTGGAAATGTGACACTGCACTGTTGTTAAACAGATTTCTCACTTGTATTGCTATAGCCTTATTCAGAGGGTTTTATACAAAATTTTGCAATGTTTTCCACATTGTAGACTTCTTAATCTCATTCGAAGTGAAGAATTCCTCCACCTTTTTCTCCTCCTCCTCTGCAGACCTGATCTCCACAACCTCTTGATGTTGGGAGATGATCATACACAATCCAAGAGGCGAGAAAGAAACAGAACAGGCCACTGGCTTAGTTGTGATCATGATATTCAGTGTCATGCACTACTTCTATTCCAAGACACTGCTCATTTATCAAGTTAAAAATTAGAAATATCTGCTTGTCTTGTGAGACACAAGTTACTCGAATTCCAAGGTTTTATTGTATTATGTACTTGTATAAGCAATAAATCAAACAATGAAACTGAAATAAACTAAGCACAGAATTTTACTGTTCTTTGTTACAAGAGACATTTATCCAAGTGTGTTTTCCTTCTTTCTTCACCTCTTCTTCACTTTCCCAAAACTTAAGTAATCTTCCTTTGTCCTTAAGCCTTGCTTCTAATCTTTCTTTTCTTTCTCTTATGTGGGAAATTGTAGAATTTAGTTATCTAGTTGTAAGAATAGGATCACAAGAAGTTTCTTAACTGAGAAAATTAAGAAGTCGTTTCTGGGAATTTCCGCAAGTCTGTTTGTTAAAAGAATTCCAGGAAACTTTAAGAGATGTTGTAAAAGTTCTACGGGAGAAAAACATTTTCCTAGCTTTCTTAGTAACCATTGTCCAGGGTCAGAGGACTGCGACCCAATGACTCTACGGGTGGTGAGAGAGATACGGTTCACTATGTACATCTGTGATGTTTGCGGTGGGCCGGTGGGCTTGACTTCTGCTGAGGTCGCCCTGCTTTCCTGATACCATCTGATAAGAGGGCTGCAGTGTGCTCTTTGATGTACGGATCGGTGAATGGAAACAAGGGACGTGTAAATTCACCTGTACCTTTTATAAGTCACTTAGAGTTACTTGTCATCACCAGATGTTAAAACCAAAAAGACAATAGCCAGAATGACTAAGCTGCTTTCTAATATGTATAAAAGCCTTACCTTTTTCCTTTGTGATTGTCGAACAGTGTCAGAATAAGCTGCTGTTGGTCCCCCAGGCTGTCTCCTTTTCTTTCTTTAAAGGTCAGTGCTCTCCGGGGTCTCCGGTCTCCCTCTAGAGAGACCACTGACACTCTTATCCCTTTAAAATTTTCTTCCCTGAGAGTAAAATTACTCTTTTGAGGGGGTGTTTGTTGTATATAATTTTCTGATTTGTTTTAAATTTTGTTATGTACCTATTTAAAGGTGGCAAATTACCAGTTACCATAGTTTGTCATTTTCTAGACTGTGCTTTATGCTATTGTTACTGGTTCTACTACTTTATCCAAGGTGACACAGTTGTCACTGTTCTTCCTTATATGCCAATACCAAGATTGTAGTGTGTGTGTGTGTTATAAACAATACCATAGTCCAGTATCAAAGAACTCGGTGCTAAGCCAAATAGGCAACAACTTCTCATCCTTCTTAAATTGAAGAGCTAGGATCTTGTAACAGACTCAAGAGCCAAGAGCCAACTATACCTAGAACACATCTCTGAGTAGTCACTTACTAAGGAGTCTTAATACTAGTACAAAGCTACCCACCATAAGTAATTTACAAGCATCAATGCAAAAAAGCAAATTAAAAAAAAGGAGAAGACATGGAAGCAAGATGCAACCCAACCTCCAGCTCACCCAAGGAAAATACAGGGAGTGTTGAGGTGGAAGAAATCAAAAGTCATCCAGCTGAACTTTCTTAAATGGTAGCAGAAAAAGTAACAAAGCAGATGAATGAGGCTCTAGAAAAAAGTAAATCAGAATCATAATGAAGGATATGGTTAGTGAATACAGAGTAAATACAGATTTTTTAAAATAGAGGAGCTTAGGAAAGTGATGAAAACCATGAATGCCCAACATAGGAAAAAATTAGATTCTCTGAAACAATTATCAGGTCAAAAATTCTATTGAAACTATATGCAGCAGAATCAACCAGTATGAGGACAGAATACCAGGCCAAGAAGACAGCTTTGTGTCTAGTGATCATCAAATGAAAGGAAGACCAAAGGGGGGAAAAAAGGGAAAAAACTCTCACTCTAACCCTAATTGTAACTCCAAGGAAAATTATGGAAACAAAGCTTCTGTAAATAAGGAAGGGTCAAAGGGTTGAATGGAGGGAAGGGGAATGGGGAGAAAAAGAAGAACCAAGATATATCATGTACAAGTATAATTTCCCTATGATGAATGTGATCATTATGTATATCAAAACAGTACCAATAAAATTAATATTAAAAACACCTAAAATTATTTACACATGGTAATAATGGCTCTTGATGTCAAAGAAAATACAGGCAAAATTATGTACTGGATGTAACATATAATTATGTTGATATATATACCTTTACAAGATACGGAAAACATAATATTGCTAATCTATAAGTTGTTTGAAAAGAGCTAAACTTTCTGAAAAACATATAAAGAAATCTTTAAAAATATAAAACAATTATAAAAATATAACATCCAATTTAGAAGTTCTTTTGTTTGAAAGAAAGAAAAATGGAGTAGATGCACCAAGAATTTAAATAGAAGCTAGTGGAAAAATTACAATTAACAAAAATTCAGTTTTTAGTGCCTAGTTACACCAGTTACTAAAAAACAAAACAAAGTAACCCTGCAATATTAAACATATAATACATTTTAATATACCTGTACATCTGTCATGATGTAAAATAAATATCACCTAATTTGATTTAAATACAATATTAAACTCCAGCATTATTACTTCCACAAAAAGAACTGTCAGCATATTTGTTCCTGAAAGTAAATTTACAAACATGTAACCCAGAGATCTACTTTAAAAGTGAATTACAGATGACCACACTACATTTATATTTTAGAGTAACTGATCTGGTTGTATATTTTCTGGAGCATTCTACATGGAAATAATTACTACGACATTTTCATATTACTTGCATACTTACTTTGTACTACATAAGAAATGTTCAAAGAATGTTTAAAAAGTGAGTTATTACTGAGATTTTTATACATTCACACGAATTTGATCCAATTTGCTTTCTTATATGTAGGACAACTTAAGACTTGTGTACATTCCTTATATTGATGTTCTCCCAAAAGTGTTCTTTTAAAATATTAACATCAAAATGACTAGAGGTGTCCCCATAAAATATACACTGATGTTTCTCCATAATACAATATTGTGTTTGCATAAAGTCATGTAAAAATGACTTTTCTCACATTTCATATTTATGCTGTTTGTTCATATTTTCTGAGGTTATGGGAAACACAAAATGCTTTCTCACATTTTCTACACAGGGTTTCTTTCCAATGGGAGTTCCCTGTATTTCAAAAGTGGAGGTCCCAAGTTCGATCCCCAGTACTGGAAAAAAAAAAAAAAAAGTGGAAGAATTGAAAGGTTTTCCCCAATGATATCACACATGGCTTCTTTCTTACATGAATTCATGTATTTGAATGCACTGGGAAAAATGCATTTTTCATATGGCTCATCTATGTTCAGATTTTCTCCTCTATGAATGCTTCCATGAATGTAATGATAGTTGCGTGTAGTGAAGATTTTCCACATTCTTACCAAAGGGCTTCCCCTCACTGTGAGTCTTTTCATGTCAGTGTAAGCCACAGCATAAATTCACAGTTAATTTTCTTCTGTGACTTTCTTAAAGCCTATGATGACTGGAATAACTGAAGGCTTTTTCACATTACTTGCATACATGTTTCTCAATAGTGTGGCTTTTTTTCATGTATCTGACAATATCTATGTGTACTGCATGCTTTCCCACATTGCTTACATATATAGGGTTTCACTCTCACGTGAATTTTTTTATGTTTATAAAATGAAGTGTAATAAGAGAAAGCTTTCCCACATTGCTTACATACATATGGTTTCTCTCCACTGTGAATTCTTTTATGTATGTAAAATGAACTATAATAAGGAAATGCTTTCCCACATTGCTTACATACATAAGGTTTCTCTCCAGTGTGAGATCTTTCATGTGTTTGACAATTACTGTGACTGGTGAAAGCTTTCCCACATTGCTTACATACATAGGGTTTCTCCCCAGTGTGAATTCTTTCATGTATTTGACAATAATCACGCTTGCTGAAAGCTTTCCCACATTGCTTACATACATAGGGTTTCTCCCCAGTGTGAATTCTTCTATGATTACAGAGTGAACTGTCATAGGTGAATGCTTTTCCACACTGTTTACATACATATGGTTTCTCCCCAGTGTGAGTTCTATTATGGCTTTGACACTGAATGAGTGTACTGAAAGCTTTCCCACATTGCTTACATACATAGGGTTTTTCCCCTGTGTGAATTCTTTTATGTTTATAAAATGAACTGTCATAAGCAAATGCTTTCCCACATTGTTTACATATGTAGGGTTTCTCCCCAGTATGAATTCTTTTATGTTTATGAAACGAAGTGTGATAAGGGAATGCTTTCCCACACTGCTTACATACATAGGGTTTCTCTCCAGTGTGAATTATTTTATGTTTACGCAATGAACTATCATAAGTGAATGCTTTCCCACACTGTTTACATACGTAGGGTTTCTCCCCAGTGTGAATTCTTTTATGTTTACAAAAGGAGCTGTAATAAAGGAATGCTTTCCCACATTGCTTACATACATAAGGTTTCTCCCCTGTGTGAGTTCTTTCATGTATCTGACACTGAATGTGTTGCCTGAAAGCTTTCCCACACTGCTTACATACATAAGGTTTCTCCCCCGTGTGAATTCTTTCATGAGTTTGACAATTACTCTGTGTGCTGAAAGCTTTCCCACATTGTTTACATACATAGGGTTTCTCACCTTTGTGAATTTTTTCATGTTTTTGACAATAACTGTGTGTGCTGAAACCTTTCCCACACTGTTTACATACATAGGGTTTCTCTCCAGTGTGACTTCTTTCATGTCTACAAAATGAACTTCTATCAGTAAAGGCTTTTCCACACTGCTTACATACATAATGTTTCTCCACTTTGTGAGTTCTTTCATGTCTGCAAAAAGAAGAGTTATTAGTGAAGGCTTTCCCACACTGTTTACATACATGGGGTTTTTCTCCAGTGTGAGCCCTTTCATGTATTTGAACACTGCGGTGAGAATTAAAAGCTTTTCCAGTTTGTATACATACAGAGACATTCATTTCACTGTGATTATTTTCATGAATTTGAAAATAACTGGTTGTACTGAAGGCTTTAGCATCTTGTTTACATACAGTGGGCTTCTCTCCAATATGAGTTTCTTTAATGCAATCAGAGAAGGATTTTTCACATTGCTTACATTCATAGGTTTTCTCTCTAGGGTTTGTTCTTGCATCCTTCTGAAAGGACTGGAAATCTCTGTAGGTTTCCCCATGTTCATTTTTGTTAGACAGCTTCTCTTCAAATTTCTGATACTCATATGATTTGAGTGCCGTGTGAGTTATGAAAGGCACATTTAGTGATGACGGAAGAATTAGGCGATTTCTACAAGTAATCCTTTCAGTTGGTTCTGTAAAAAGTGGTTTCATGTTCACATTACGATCTGGAGTCCCAAAAAACATGTCTTCATGTTGATACCATAATTTATATTGACACCATTCCTCTATCTCTTCACTTCTAAAAAAAAAAAATCAACCAATCACATTTAAAAGTGTCTCCTTATTAATGATTTACCAGATAGAGACCTAGTTTTAGGCCTTTTAAGAATATTTGACCATGAATTTACTGTACACTATGGAGGATGGCTTAAAACAGTGTTTACTAAAACACTAGTGTGTAATTGGAATCTAAAATTCATATGTTTGCAACAGACAACATTTACTTTCATTTTGGGGAATTAGTATATAGGTATACCTTTTGATTATTTTTGATACTCTTTCCTCCATGATCCCTTCCACCGAACCTCTTCACCTTCTGCAAAAAGTCTGCTTCCCTTTTTTACTATGTCTCCTTTACTTCTTAATTTATATTTTTGGTTTATCAAACAAAATACACCATGTGTTATTAAAGTTTCTGTGTTTCATTTATTTCACCTAACATTATGGGGTCAAGATCGATCCATTTTTTGGCAAATTACATCATGTCACTTTTTTATTGCACACAGTTTCATTATGGAGGCATACCAAATATTTTCAGCACTGGAAATTTAATGCACTTAGCAATGAGCTACAACCTAGTCTTTTTTTTTTTTTAATTTTGAGGCAGAGTCTCATCAGTCATTAACTTGTCCAGGCTGAGCATGTGAGTATGACCTTCCTGCCTCAGCTTTCTAGAGTGCAATGATTCTAAGGATGCACCATGATGCCTGGACTATGGCATATTTTCTTAATCTACTCATCTGTGAGTGGGCAACTAGCTACTTCCAGAGTTGAGCTCTTGTGAGCTATGCTACAACAAACATGGATATGCATCTATCACTATCCTATGATCATCTTCTGAGGAATATACCCAAGAGAAGTTCACCTCGATCAAATGAACTTCCTATTATTACTTTTTTTGAGGAATCTCTATAGGCATTTCTATAGCTGTTGTACTACATAACACTCCCACCAGCAATACAGAAGTTGCCTTCTAATAATTTTGGAACAAGAATGGACTGAATGCTTTGGAGGACTGCTTGATAATAGCTATTATCAAAACAGTGCATTCATTTGGATTTAGAGTATTTGTCCAAGGTTACCAAATTTACAAATACTGAATGTGCATAACATTTAAGTAGATGGCATTTCTTACATAAGTTTAGAAAATATCACATGTATAATTAGATACCCTGAACTTGTGTCCCAGACCAAACACAGAATTTATTTCACATACAACTATAGCCAATGCCTAAATGTAATTTCATGTAACATTTTTATAATCTTGAGCATGGAACAAAGTTTGTTTAGTGTGATGTTTTAAATAGTGTCACCCTTAGCATAATGTCAGTACTGCCTAAATTTCCAGTATTAGAGTGTTTCAGGTATTCAGCTGTCACATTATAGATAGACAACTTGTATGCACTTTCGGAAAGTTTGTGAAATTAAGTAACTTTTGAACTTAGCTTCATTTGTAGTTTGCTTGGTTTTAAAATTTGTGTTCATTCCCTGGCTCATTAGGAACATTCCTTTTTGTGTGTGTGAGTGCATAATACCTTAGATTTCTCCTCCAACATTTGCACTGATTTTCAATTTGCTGGCCATTCCAGTTTGGTTCTAAAGAGTAGAAACAGAAAATAATAAATTACTACAACATTATATAAAAACTAACAGGACCGGGGATTTAGCTCAGTGGTTCCGCTGCCTGCCTGGCAAGCACAAGGTCCTGAGTTCAATCCCCGGTAGCCCCCCCCAAAAAAGAACTAACAGATTTCAGTTAGATTCATACTATTGGGACCATCTCAGGAATACTCATCAAAATGTTTTCATATTCCAATGAAACTGTACTGGTGAGCAAGAAACAATGTTCTCTAATTATATAAATAAGAAAATGATATCTTCCTTACCTATAGCAGCCAAGTTCTTAAATATCTCTGACATCACATCTCTGTAGAGCTTCTTTTGGGATGAATTCAGCAAAACCCATTCCTCCAAAGTGAAGTTCACAGCCACATCCTCAAAGGTCACTGCCTGCTAAATCATCACACATACATTTCCTGGAAGAGAATTGAGACTCACAGCATGAAATATTTTTACTCCACTCAAAAAATGATGCTGAGTCTTCCAAATGTTTACTCCACGTTTTGGTCATGAAACACTGCCTCTCTCCTCATGCACATCTCACACAGGAGTTCTAATGCTAGACTGAAATCTATTGCTAAAGTCATAGCGGAATAGGAACACTGGTTGTCTTGCTGGTTAAACTCAGTTTTATTCGTACGTTGTTTCTAAAGTATGGTTCATAGAGGGAGCCTACAAAATCAGCATCCAAATTTAAAGATGATCTGACAGATCATAAGAAATATCTCCTTTCTTAATTTATTATTTAAGGAATTAATCCATTCCTTCTGTAATTGCTTTGATAGCATTTTGAAACTTGAACCCGGTTTCACAGATTAAAGTCTTAATTGAACATTAAGTAAAATAAATAATCTAAAATGTGAATAAAATATTAGTTTTTTATTGTAGAATGTGTAAAGAGAATAAAATTAAGACATATTATCTTTCATCTTAATGACACCAAATAGCCATCTATCACAGTTATGAGGGAGAGGAATGGGAGAATTCATATGGTCCCAAAAAAATACATATATATATACTGAATACCAATACTGCAAAATTAACAGGTATGAAAAATGAAAGAAACAGATTTGTCACTTCTAAGTCATATCTTTGACTCTTCAAACTATCACAGATGTTCAGTATAATATTCTACAATATTCAATAAGTAGTAAAGAAGAAGGTGACAGCTTGTCTAACATAGAAGAAAGAGCATTATTTAGGGCACTGAACTATTATCAGATTGGATGACAGACAGATCACAGAAAATGAAGACAGTCTTCAATGGCTCATATGTAAATGGAATACTGATTCATGTTAGAGCTGTTATTGTACAAAGTGGGAAAAATCACAACCTGTTTAATAGAGAAGTCAGGAAGAAATAAGTACCCATATTGACACAAATACTTTTTTTCATATTCCATGTACAATAATTTATATCTTAAAAGTGTTTTCTCAGTAGAAAATCCAGAAGTCATCAAATTACAGGGAGAAATTTAAATCATTGTAAATCACAGGATATAAGAGACAAGAAATGAAAAAATGTTTGTAGTGCATACAATAAAAATAATTTTTGTGCAGAGTATAAAAATCAATGAACACATAGCAAAAATGAACAAAACATATAAACTAAGTGAAAACACCAATATAAAATGAGATCCATGCGTTTGGTTGAGGAAATAGGCAAAACAAATGAAGGATACAACTAGTATGAAGACATATAAAAGAATGCTAGATCAAATGATAACACTCCATGGCCATTTCCTCTACTATGAGTACACCAAAATCTACAGACCAGTGACTTTTATTCAACTTCCAGAAAATACATTGTGCTGTTGTTCCTGAAGACAGATGTATTCTTTTACATGAATACAAAGTAAACTTGAAAACAACTTCAACCATGTAACCACTGAAATGGATAAGAAAGTATTTTCCCCCATCTCAGATATGAGCTCATATAAGGTACAGTGACAAAGAAACCACCTATAATGCTTTTCAGTGCAATCTCTATAGTATTCTTTTATTGAAAATTTCAAGGGGACAAAACTAAAAGAATACTGCCTAGTGACAATTACACATGGTAAACTTAGGGGGGAAACTGCAGTAGAAAGAGAACAGTTGTCACCTATGGAAAGATAAGGCTGAGTCAAACACGCTTTCACCTGGATACTCAGAAAACTCCCCATGTAGAAAACTTTCTGAGGGTTCCCAGAATATGTATAGTTATTATTGTTAACTTTCATAAAAATGAATTTTTTGTAACAAAATATACTGTAAAATATTTAGACACAACATTACCATGAGGAAAAAAACAAGTAATGAGTATATGTTTGCCTCATTCTAACATGGAAAATGAGTTATTTACAGACTGGGCAGCCAGAAACCAAACAGCACAGTTGCAAACATGAGACCTCCAGATGCTAAGCAGGCAGTGGGCAGACTGCAAACTGGTTATCAGGAAGAGTGCAGGTTAGAAAGGGAGGGAAAGAAAAGAGACACCTGGACTGACTGATGTCTAGACACCCTACTTATGACACAAAATCCTATGCTAATCTGAAGAGGAGTGGTTTTTGTATTCATGCTGGTGAAGATATGGTATAAAAAACCAAGAGGACATGCAAAGGAATATTCTCATAACTGAATACTCAGGCAGATTGGGGTAGGACTGTCAACAATCCACCAAAAAATCTTGAAGAGTGAAGAAAGGAGCTTAGCTGGAGAAGCTATTTAAGGTTAAAGGGAAACTTAGTGAGAATTCACTCCCATAAACAGAGTTTTGGGAAAACAATGTGACTGTCAGATCCAAAGCTATGAACTCCTAGGCTTTATCTTTAATTGGATCACAAATCCAGAGTAGAAGGCATGGTGAGGGTTAGTATTGTCACTAAAAAGCAAACAATGAACTCACACATTTCCACTTTTCAGGTCACCTGTAAAAACAGGGAAAGGAATGTTCTCTTCTCAACTACAAAGAAACAAACTAGCTTAAAATTTGCAACCCTTAAAAAAAAAAAAATTGCAACCCTTGAGGACTAAAGATCTCACTGTCTCCAAACCGGTAAACAAGGAGGAAAAGACTGACAAAAGTGTAAGTTACTATGAAGAAACTTACAAGAACAGAAGAAGGGTAGGAAATTTTACATGTCCTCATGAACAAGACAGAATTTTGAGAGGCAAAAACTTCTAGGGGCAGTTTTAAAATGTTCTAAATTTTCTTGAGTTTTACATCCACAAGCACTGCTAGATTTTCACAATGATAATCAGAGAAAAATTATTTCACACTTCTGAAAGGGTTGTGGGGAGAACAAAGTCATTTTGAAAATTTTGGGGTTTAAGTAAGTTCTGACTTCAAAAAACAGTAAGAAGCCCCAGCAAACAGCCTGTGGATGGTGAGGACCTCGGCCACGTGGAGCCCAGCTCTGTGCCCATGCCCCACCCCCAGTGACCAGCTTCGCTGCATGGGAGCCTGCAGGCCCCCACACACACACCTCTGGCCTCCTGGCTGTGCTACCTGGTTCCACACTGCAGAGGGACAGGGGGTCATAAAGGCCATTGTCCTGAGCTCCAGAAGATAGAGCAGAAGTGAACAACAGAAAGAGGACATCTTTCAGGCTCCTTGATGAAAACTGAAACCCACTGGAAAACTCCAGAGAATCTCTGCAATAAAGAGGCACACCAGACCACCATACTTGGTAAGTTGGAGGGATCATCGCCTCCCATCGGAACCTGGACTATCTTCAGGGGAAGGGCAGCTGGAACCTGCAGTAGAAACTTGCAGAGTTCAACCCTGCAGCAGGACAGGGAGTTCAACTTGGGACTTTATGCCAGAAATCTGCCTGAATCTCACGGGTCTGCTACTGGCTTGCTGAGACTCATTGACTTATATCTGGACACTGCTGCCCACATTGTCTATTGTGATGGCAGACACACCCTGAAGGAGGCCCTTCATTTTTGTTTTTCGTTATTTTCAATTTCTTTGCTTTTATTTTTAATTTTTAATTTTTATTTTGTTCCTACTCTTCAAATTTCTATTTTTCTCTTTTTTTCATTCTTTTCTCTTTTTGTGCTCTCTCACTTGTTCTCTTGTTGTCCCACATTGTTCTTCATCTCCATTTTTGTTCCTGTTCTGGCTCTAATTCGATTTCTTCTTTATTTTTCTTTTCTTCTTTTCCTTCTCTCGATTGTCATTAGTTTTAAAAGAAAGTAAACACAGTTTCTAGCCTCCCTATCGCTCTTAGGTTGTTATGCTCTCATCTTTGTTCTTTCATTCTGTCTTTTCCTCTTGTCTTCAACAGTTTCTTAAGAGTTTGCGTGATCTTCCTGTGTCCTCTGGCCTCACTGCTAACCTTTCCCTATACTTCTACCTATTTATCCCAGCCACCCCCAACTCCTTCTAACTCCCCATCCCAAAGGGTAAAGTTACTATATTAAAGAATTTATTCACTATAAACATGTGTTGGGCTGGTCATCGATTTAGATTTAATTCACACAGTTAAAGGTGACAGATTAGTAACTACCACAAATTATCATTTTCTAAGCTGTGCTTGATGCTATGGTGTTGCTGTTTGTATCACTTGGGCTAAGCTGTTGTGATTGATCTAATCAGTTGTCCTTCCTGGTATAATGAAAATAAGATAGGCACAGAGTCATGAGAGACTCAAAACCTAAAGACCAGCTATATCTGGAAGACACCTCTGAGAAGCAATCATTCCATAAGGGTTCTAAATACAACCAATAAAGATACTTACAATAAGCAATTTCAAAGTATCAAACGAGGAATTAAACCAAGGACAGTACCAAAAACAAAAATGAGAAGACATTTAGGCAAGGCACAAACTCAGACTTCCACCCCACCAAAGGCAAATTCTGAGGGAAACGAGGTGGAAAAGTCTGATAATCAACCACCTGGACACCCTGAACTGATAGCACAGGAAGTAACAAAACAGATGAATGAGGCGCTAGACAAATTCAAAACAGAAATAATGTCCCAGGTAACTACAGAGATGGTGAGAGGAGTGAAAGACATGATTAGAGGCTCTAGAACAGAAACATAAAAAAACAGATGCGCACAGAACCATGCTGGAAGCCATGAATACCAAGAATGAGAAAGAAATGGAAACCATGATTGCCCAACATAAGACAGAAATGGAATCCATGAAAAAGATTCAAACAGATATCCAGGAGATTAAAAATTCCATTGAAAGTATTCACAGCAGATTAAGGGAATGTGAAGATAGATTATCAGATATAGAAGACAGGAATGCAGTTAGCAACCATGAAAACAGAGATTTCCTAAAAATACTAAGGGACCATGAGAAATCAATCCAGCAGCTGCTAGAGATGATACAAAGAAGAATAACATAAGACTGACAAGAGTCCATGAAAAAGCAGGAGAAAGTACAATTGACATTAAA